CCCCCCCCCCCCTCTTCTCATTCACTTCAGTTGCCCCACACGCCTCCTCCCTCTCTCCCTCTCACACACACACACGCAGAGGCGGAACAAAGTACCAATGAAACATAGGAGAGGAGGAACGAAAGACAACAAAACAAGAGAGAAAAGGAACTAAGCAGGTAGGCACGGCACCTCAGAGAGGAAATACAGACAGCAGGGCCTTGATTCTTCAAGGACATTCACTGCATCACACGGGGAGAGACACATATATATACATACATCGGAGAGAGAGGGAGAGAGAATGAGGAGGAGTTGCGAAGACACATTTGCCAATAACAAACCCTGAGGAACTTGCTCAGTCAACAGCAGCAACAACAACCAAGAAAAAAAAAATACCGTAGAGAAAATACAGAAACATGCCCGAATGTATTTACACACACACACACACACACACACACACACACACAAACGCAACACTCATGCCTGGCACTCGTCATGCGGCAGACGCTCTTGTTTCATCTTTACCCCAAGCGCATCGCTGCCACCAGACGTGGAACGTTACCGTTGCTATTATTGTCATCCTCGTCACCTCCATAATTTGTTAACAGCGGCACTGCGAGCCCCAGCACTTCCACCAGATGATCGCTGACCTTTAGGAGCGACAGCTCCTGCCCGTCGCCCCCCGTCGCACGTCCACCACCCACCACGCGTTCGCTGTCGTCTGGCGTAGCGAAGAGCAAGCGCAAACGTGTGATAAGGAATGCGTCTGGTCCAGAAACACCCACAGAAGTTCCACGTAGTTCATCAAGCACCTCGCCGCACGACGATGACGCAGTGGTGCGCCATTGCACCTGCAGATAGCTCCTATTGGGCAATAGACTGCACTCAAAGGCAAGAACGCAAGCGACACGACGGGTGCCGTTGAGGTTATGGTAATCCACATAGCTGCTGCCACCGTCTACAAACAACTCTCCCTGTGCAAGGAGCAAAGTACTATTGACGCCGCGTGACGGCAGCGAGGGCGATATCACCAACGGCAACAGTCGGGGCAATGTTATTGTCAACGTGTAGTTGGCTGCATCATGTGTACTGCGCATCCCACTCACATCGGTGAACGTAGGGAGGATGGCCCCTACTCTCTGGAAGAGTGGCACAATATCCTTCTCTTCCGGTGACTTCGATGTTGAGAGCTTCTGGGAAACCTGTAGGATTGCACCGGACGCCACCAGTTCCCCTGTCCAGAAGTTATACAGTTCCTCAGCCGGCATCTGCAGCATCTTCGGCGCACTGCTTCCCACCGCAGGCGTTACGATCGGTGCAACAAAGAGGTGCGGGCCAAAGAAAAACCGCTGTGTCAGCATGGCAGGCTCAACGTACACGAGGGGATCCTGCTGATACACAAAGAACAACGGGCGGAGGATTAATTCCCCATGCACGTGGGCGCGCCAGAAGAGTGTGTACAAGTATGGCAGAAGTGTGTAGCGGAGACGCACCGCGTCGCGAATGCGGGCGCGCGTATGTGCAGCAAAGAGCCATGCTTCACGGAGTGGCACAGCCGCATCCGCATCGGCGCGAAAGAGCGGGTAGAATGCACCTAGTTGGTACCACCGCACCAGCAGCTCGTCGTCAGGCTGGTGAAAGAAGCCACCAATATCGGTCCCAACGAATGGGATGCCGGCGATGCTGTGCATCAAGCACCCTTCCACGCTGGCCTGCAGGTGCTCCCATGAGGCGGTGGTGTGGCCCAACCGCACGGCGGCGTAGCGCTGCACCCCCGCAAAGAACGACTGCGTCATGACGAATGGTCGACGGTGAAAATGTGTGCGCCGAAGTTGGCCCTTGTAGACAGTCATAGCGTGTAACATGCCGTAAATGTTATGCACCTCACTGTGCGGCACCGCACCTGCGTGCCCGGATTCTGCAGGAAGCGTTTCCCGCATCCCGTTTGGCACAAATGGCTCGTTCTCTTCTAGACTAAAGAATGTATGGTTCGTGGAGCCGACGAACCGCTTGTACTTCAGCAGGCCCCCGTACCAGCGTCTAGCACCGGGATTCAGGAAGTCCACCCACGTCATCAGCCCAGTTGCGGTGAGACCCATAAATAGATCGTCCTCCTCGGGGTGTGCGGTGACGAAGTATTCATGTCGCCTTCCCTCCAGATAGAGAGCGAAGCGCGGGTCCGCCGACACGTAGGGCACCGTGGAGAGGACAAGGAATCGCCCACCATCACGCCAAAGCTGTTGCTGCATCTCCACTGGGTCAGGAAAATGCACCCGGTTCCATGTAAAAATGTGCTTGCCGTTTGTGTGATTCAAACCCAAGCCAAGTGTGTCGACAGGAATTTGCTCTCGCGCGAAGGCGGCGCTGAGATCTAAGAGAGTTTTTGCCTCTTTGTAGCTTCGATGTGTATGGTGGTACCCCAAGGCGAAGAGTGGCGGCATCATTGGAAACCCTGTCAGTGCGTAGTACTGCAGCAGAACGTCCTCTGGCGTTGGCCCTGGCAGCAGATAGACGCGTGTGGCACCTGCTGTGCTCGTGAAGGAAATGCTCGTCCACCCTCTCTGGCCGCCTGAGGCTGTGCGCACCTTCAATGGGGAGCCGTTCAGCCAGAGAATCCCCACCGCACGCCGCTCAAACGTGGTAGCGGTTGTGCTGCCGTGAGGCTTTGGAACTCGCCCAATAGCGTACACAAACGGAACAGAGCCACTCAACACCGTCTCTGGTGAGAGCGAGGGGTTGGCAGAAAACTGGTTGAAGATATCATA